TAATAGCTATTTTTCATTATTATTATCGTCGGTGAGATATTTAATTTAAGTATTGTCAAAACAGATTTTCCAATGAGGAATTTATGGCACAGAATTTATTCATAATTTCTAAACTATTTTTAGTCAATTGCAATTAAAAGAATGTCCACGTAATTGTTAAGTGTACAGAATGTACCATAGCATATGGAAGTTGCTTTAGGAAATCATCCGTTCGACCCGACTTAAAAATTGCAGGCATTTTCTACGAATCGGATAAATTCGTTTCGCTATTTTTGCGCACCCCATCTACTCCCGAAGCGCGTCCCACACGTTATGGCGCATCCTGTACGACACCCCGTCATCGGGCTTTAGCGTTAATCGATGCATTTGCGTTCCCAACAAAATAGAAATCGAGGAGCTAGCGAAGCATGGCACTATGCTGCCTGCTAACATGATGGGCCTCGCAGACGAGCAGGTAGAGGAGCTGAAGCTCAAGGACGAGTGGGGCGAGAAGTGTGTACCGATGGGCGGATGGACTTTTAACAAGGACGTTATCGGTACGTGAAACCATATTAAGGAGAGTGCCTAGTCTCGAACGAGCCATAGACAGGTTGCCAGCGTGTTTTACGCCGGCCCGTACGCCGCGGATGCAAATGCAACTTATCGGGAACGGAGTGTACAATGCTGTCGAGGAATTGGCTCACCGTGATTTTTCTTGCTTCGAATGGGCTTGTAATCGTCGCGTTAATTGCTCGACTCAGAGGGTTTCCGTGTTTCAGGCCGCAGGAACGGCAAACAGCCTAATGCAAAGATGCGGGAGGTCTTGAACAAAACGATCGAAGAAGCACGAGCCATGGTTTCGAAGGTAATTTCTCATGTCTCGCGTTCGTGATAAATTCCCTCGCCTCTATGGCGCGTTCATTGCTTTTCTAAAATTACCATTCCTTCGAACGCAGAAGTTGGTCCAGCAAGATAAATTGGCCACGCAGAAAATTGTCCAAGAGGCTCTGGACATTTTGAGGGGCGCCGTGACCATCGTTTATCCCATGGGACTTCCGCCTCATGACGTGATTCGCCAAGAATTCGAGAACACCGAGGACCTTGGCGGCACTCAGGCTTCCCTCGAGGTGATCCCGATGATCGCGTAGCGTGCAGATTAAGTCGCGCTTCGGAAGATTTCATACTTTAACATAAAACCTGCCTAAAATGTGGACAAACGAGAATCGTGGTTTGCAAATATACATACATATACATACATGTCCCAAAAACGTCTCACAATCCGGAAATGGCGGGTTCCTCAGATCATTTGAAGCAACTTCTTCCTTTACAAAAATGTTCTCCGAGGCACCGTTAACGAGTTATTAACGAAAAACAGTGACCAATAAGAGCCAACACCAGCGCACGAAGCCCAGTTCCGCTCATTGACTCAGCCGCCTCGCGCCAGTTGAGCTGGGATTCGACCGCCTCGACCGCTGGCGCCGTTGGCTCGGCCACCTGGCGCCAGCTGATCTCGCCTCTCATTGGTCACTGTTTTTCGTTAATAACTCGTTAACGATGCCTCGGAGAACATTTTTGTAAAGGAAAAAGTTGCTTCGAATGACCCGAGGAACCTGCCACTTTCGGATTGCGAGACATTTTTGGGACACCCTGTATATCGTGGTACGCGGATTCGTTTGCTCGCCGACGGCCGACGGTCAACGACCGACGGATAGTCGATCACGTCTATCTTTGTTTAATCTCCTCGCGTCGAGATCGTTCGCAGCCAGACGGCAACTAATTGCACTAACAAACTTCGATCTCCAGTGACGGTGATCTGCACGGTTTACGATTTAACGGACAGTCGCGGATAGCTCCCAGGCTCGTAGATGCGATCTTTGGATAGGGAAACCCCGTGTCGTTCTTCATCTCGAGACGCCTATGGCTAACTCGAACAGCCACTACGCTGCAGTACGAAGTACGACCAAGGTACTGTGCGCCCGCCAGAAGAAGGCACATAGCGTGTTTACATTCCCAATTCTGACGCAGTCCGCTGTCCCTCCTATGCGATCGGCTATTGGCCGAAGACCGTGACGAAGATCAACGCTACGCGACCCGCCGTTCACATTCATCACTGCCTGTGATCATAAGAATGACAGCGAACTGCGACAGAAATGGTAATGTAAACACGCTATGTGTCTTTTTCTGACGAACACGCGGTACAGTAATGTCTCTCTAATTGACGCCAAGATTGACCACAAAAATGGACAAATTTGGGAAGAGGAGATACGATTATTCGAGCCTTGCGGTCTATTTTTATAGTTATAAATTGTCCACAATTATAAGAAGGAGCCGCAAGGCTCCAATAATTGTATCTCCTCTTCCCAAATTATCCATTTTAGTGGACAATCTGAGCGTCAGTAAGGGAGACATTACTGTAATTCAATTTCCCCTAAACTAGTTTCACGTTTAGATTGTCGTAACGATTAGATCAGTAAAACTTGACGATCAATTGTCGCCCAAGGACCTCGAAAAATCGCCGGCGGCTAGCGAAATGATGCGAGTCAGTCTTCTACGAATTATAAATAATTAAAAAGGCCGCGATTAATACCCTCGGAAATTTGTAGCGCACGCAACGACGAATTTCTCAGTTCGAATCGGCCATTTCTTGGCGGCGGTAGTACAGTAATGTCTCTCTAATTGACGCCCAGATTGACCACAAAAATGGACAACTTGGGAAGAGGAGTTANGCGAGTCAGTCTTCTACGAATTATAAATAATTAAAAAGGCCGCGATTAATACCCTCGGAAATTTGTAGCGCACGCAACGACGAATTTCTCAGTTCGAATCGGCCATTTCTTGGCGGCGGTAGTACAGTAATGTCTCTCTAATTGACGCCCAGATTGACCACAAAAATGGACAACTTGGGAAGAGGAGTTACGATTATTCGAGCCTTCCGGTTCGTTTTTATAATTGTGGACAATTATATTATATTATATTATATTATATTATATTATATTATATCTGTCTCTTATACACATCTAGATGTGTATAAGAGACAGTAATATAATATAATATCTGTCTCTTATACACATCTAGATGTGTATAAGAGACAGTAATATAATATAATATCTGTCTCTTATACACATCTAGATGTGTATAAGAGACAGTAATATAATATAATATCTGTCTCTTATACACATCTAGATGTGTATAAGAGACAGATATTATATTATATTATATTATATTATATTATATATATATATTATATTAATCTGAGCATCAGAGTAAGGGAGACATTACTGTACATGAGCCGTGCAGACAACATCCGTCCATAACGGTCTTATCCACGACACCGAAGGTCCGAAGAAGAATATTTGTTAGGACTCACCGATTACTTGCTTCTTATCGCTTATTATCAGCGACTGCTTCTGTTCTAAACTCGGCTTCTCTCTCGCACTCGTGTTAACCAGAGTTTACAAAGCAAATGATCTTTTCGGTACAAACTACGGCCTACGCGACTATGCGACTGTACGCGACAGAGTTTCCATCTGCCGGCGACATAGGGGCACTCCTCGCGCCGTCATACCTCTCATTTCTACTGAGAGGCTAACACCGAAGTGTCACAATTTCTAGGTAAAAAATCGCTTGTTTTAATGTAATAACGTTTAAAATTACTTAATCTATACTTGCGGTAAACCCAACAAGTACTAATTTTCTTCCTCGCGGCAAAAACGTCGACAACTTCGGTTCTCATTTCTTTTTTTTTTTGACAATTGCACAGTTCTACGAAAAATCTGAGAAAAATTGAGCGCACTGCTTGCGTTAGTACCTTACCAAGGAATTAATATCAAAATGACGTGGTTTTTTCATTTTTGAGATATCTTCAATTTTTCGATTTTCTTTTTGGTTTTCCATTTTTGATATCCACAGCTTGTAACCGAAAAATCTGAAAAAATTCTATAATATGCGGCTCGATGTCCAAAATAGGCCACATTTTTTACAAAATTTTAAAAACCCACCGAAGATGAGAAATGGACGGGAAAGCGCGCAATCTGATCGATTAAAACAGCCAAATGCATCGATTAAAACAAAAGAGAATCGATTGTTCACAAGTTTGCGCATGAGATTTCTTCTGAAACGTGCGCTTCACGGTTGCAGGTAATGGACGTGCAATTGGCGCAACTATGGTTTTCGGGCAAAGAAATGTTACCAGGGAAGAAGATTAAAGACTACGTGGGAGCGAACGAGAAAACACGAATTATCGTGAAATTACAAAAAAGAGGGGGCGGTAGACCAGCGCGTGAACCGGTGATGTCGGAGGACGAACGTAAACATCTGATGCTCCACGCCTACAAAAGACAGGAGCAGCTGAAGGTAAGTAGAAATTGTCTTCTGTCAGTAAAGTTGTGTTCTTTATTAACAACGGAATGCAGAGTAACAAACTAAAATTTATCGAATAAATCGCGTTTATACAATCGCACTCGAAGTGCAGGAACAGATCAATCACCTAATATATATTTTGTCGCCAAACCCTGTTATCATTCCTGTATCACGCCCAACGTTATCGATCAACTTCTAAGTCCACAAACTTAGGTTTTGTGCAGGTTGCAAAACCCTGTTATCATTTTCGCGTCACTCTCGACGTTACCGATCAGTTACTAAATTCACAGCTTGGGATTTGTATAGATTGCAAAACCCTGTTATCATTTTCGCGTCACTCTCGACGTTACCGATCAGTTACTAAATTCACAGCTTGGGATTTGTATAGATTGCAAAACCCTGTTATCATTTTCGCGTCACTCTCGACGTTACCGATCAGTTACTAAATTCACAGCTTGGGATTTGTATAGATTTCAAAACCCTGTTATCATTTTCGCGTCACTCTCGACGTTACCGATCAGTTACTAAATTCACAGACATAGGATCTGTACAGATTTCAAAACCCTGTTATCATCTTCGCGTCACTCTCGACGTTACCGATCAGTTACTAAATTCATAGACTTGGGATATGTATAAATTTCAAAACCCTGTTATCATCTTCGCGTCACTCTCGACGTTACCGATCAGTTACTAAATTCACAGCTTGGGATTTGTATAGATTGCAAAACCCTGTTATCATTTTCGCGTCACTCTCGACGTTACCGATCAGTTACTAAATTCACAGACATAGGATCTGTACAGATTTCAAAACCCTGTTATCATCTTCGCGTCACTCTCGACGTTACCGATCAGTTACTAAATTCACAAACATAGGATCTGTACAGAATTCAAAACCCTGTTATCATCTTCGCGTCACTCTCGACGTTACCGATCAGTTACTAAATTCACAGACTTGGGATATGTACAGATATTGCATCTCATGAACTTTCCTGTCTTAGCTCTAGAGGACTCTAGAGCCTCCTTACCATTTCGTGTCGCGATCAGCATTACCGATAGTTCACGAGATATAGGCACGTTAGCAAGAAGCGTATATCCTGCATATTTCATTTTTCCTACGAGTGCTGGTATCATTTAGAGACTATAAGTGTACACGGCGCGAACATTTAAGTGATGGAAATAGTATTTATGAAACATGTGCTACAGAAGATACTATATAAAGTGTAATTATTTTTATAGACAGTTGAGCAATTGTTTCTACTAATTACACAATTAGTGATGGTATACATACAGCAATAATTTTATACATTTTTTCTGGCAGATGGGTATTTGCAACGTTAATTTCATAAGCTTTACAGCATGAAAAAGCATTGCATGCAATGTCTTTACGAACCCTAAATCTGTGCTAATTTATATTTCTAAAAAACATAAAACAATGTACAGATGTATAGAAAATTTTTGCATCGACGAATCTCGTAGTAGCATTGATTAATAGTTTCGCGTAGCTTTCAAATGGTTTCGAAATAAATTGAAATTTGAAACGTATAAAATATAAAAAATATATACCTACTCTCTCTGTTAAATTGACAATTAAACGATGTTGTTTACGTAATATTCGTTCGTGCCAGTTCAACGAACTCGTCGCAACGATTCATCCGTTATCGATTTAAAGAACCGTAATTGCGTGATTTCCATTTATATTACCGGGTACATTCAACCGTTCCCAGTCTATCAATAATACAATTTGTCTCTCGTGGTTCCCTCTCGTTCGTTCTCATGCATTCCGTTCCATTCAAATTCGCGGTATCTGAATATATGCCTTCGATCGATCAGTCGTTTCCTTTTATTTAGTTTCCTGTATCCTTTTATTTGACTTGCAACGATACACATGCGACTGGCATGGTAATATTTGCCCATTGAATGGAGCTTGTTTATCCTGCACAGATATTTACCATGTATTTATACAACCGCTTTTTACGTAACGTAAAAGCAGCGCGCTGTATCTCGTGCGTACGCGTACAGTGAAATCGAACAAACAATTGTATCAAATTTACTTAATAGACAAGAATGTCTGTTCAATTTTCGTGTAATTGGTATCATTTAATTACGTTTATAATACATACTATATGTTTTGCATTATAGTCATATTTTATTCGCACAAATTATTTTCTGAAAAACGTTGTTCGAAAGATGAATAAATTATTTCCGTCTCGCTTAACCCCTTAACGTGCACGCTCGAGTTAACTCGAGCGCGCTAAACTGGCCAAACTGTGCTCACTCGAGGTAATTCGAGCGGCGTTGTACTTTATGTTGCTATAATTTTTCACACTCGAACGCAATCGAGAATTGAAAATAACAACGTGAAAGCAAAAAAGAAACAATCGTTTTATTGATATTTATCATTTACATGGGATTGTAAGCTATAACACTTACTTATTCAAGTATAAAATATATCCTTTTTCTACTTATCACTTACGTCTTATCTCTTCCTTGTGAGCCGCTTTCCGACAGCGTATTCATATTCAGATTCCGATTCGCTCATTTTTCAATATATATTTTACTAAAATATAATGTAAAATAAAATATAATAATAATAATAACAACAATAATAATAATAACAACAATAATAACAATAATAATAATAACAACAACAACAACAACAGTAACAGTAACAGTAACAGTAACAGTAACAGTAACAGTAACAGTAACAGTAACAACAATAATAATAATAATAACAATAATAATAATAGTAATATTCTGAAAATTAGAATNTAACAGTAACAGTAACAGTAACAGTAACAGTAACAGTAACAGTAACAGTAACAGTAACAACAATAATAATAATAATAACAATAATAATAATAGTAATATTCTGAAAATTAGAATTGCAATAAAAATTTTGATTATTTTTGTATTTTTGTAATTTTCTTGCCTAGACAACGTTCTAAATTGTGTTTTTTTACATTAAAAAGAAATTGATTTTTTTGGCCGGCCTTTTTTAAAAAAGAAACTGTGCATCAAGGGGTTAAGATTCCATCAATTTCATAAGATACTTAGATTACCTTTTATTTGCAATGTTTCGAATATGATGCTTATCGAACAATTCTGCTGAAAAATGTTCACCTTACGCAACCTTCCCTTGAATCGTTATATCATAAACGGTGGACTCGTTCAATTTTCGTTCGCGGAGAGAATGTTTTATCGTTACGAATCCGTGTTGCCGTACTCGCGCGATAACTCGTGAGATATACGAGATAGTGGAAAGGCGGTTATTAAGAATTGGTTCGGAAACTTTCTCTGTATCCCGATAAAATGGAAGAGCCTTTGCTACCGCGGCGAAAGGAATCGTGGAAGAAACAAGACACTTGGAAGCTAAATCGGCGGAAATTATGTCTCATAATTACTCTTAAATTAGAGTAACTTTAAGGAGTTCTTTTTTTACAACCGCGTGCACCGCAATTAATTCGAAAAGTTACACATATTTTGATACTATATTTGGTAACATTAGAATCTAGTAAATTTTACGGATTAGTACTCTACTCGCAGAGTTAAATATATTATGATCTCTTACGAAATGTTCTTTAGTAGGTAGCATAACTTATGCTACACTGAATTTATACGGATACAAAGCTGATTATGGTACATCTAACTCAGTTTCCTGAATTCTCTTCGAAGTACTTTTTACAAAATGAACAAGAAAATCAGGTAATTAAAGTTTCATATGTATACATATATGTATTATATACAGGATATCCCCCAAAATTATCGTACTTTCGGGAAATGAGGGTTCCCTGAGATCATTTGAAGCAACTTTTTCCTTAGCGAAATTGCAATCCGCGGCTTCGTTTACGAGTTATTAACGAAAAACAGTGACCAATGAGAGGCGAGCTTGGCTTGCGTGCGGCGGCCGAGCCAACGAGCGCGCGGAGCTCGGTTCCGCTCATTGGCCCGGTCGCCTAGCGCCGAGCGAACTCGCCCCTCATTGGTCAGTGCTTTTTTATGAATAATTCGTTAACGATGCCTCGGAGAAAATTTTTGTAAAGGAAAAAGTTGCTCCAAATCACCTCAGGAATCCCTCATTTCTCGGATATACCATAATTTTGCGATACCCTGTATAAACATCTTATATTCCAATAATTTTATTTCGAATTTGAAGAATTGCACGTAATTTTTGTATTCAGGAAAATATGTTTAAAATCACGATACGCAGTTGCCGCAGTTTAGACAACGTGTAATATCAGACGTTTACATCGCTCTGTAATTATTGCGTGAATTATAACGGCGTTAACGACATCTTTCTATTGCAAACTCCGCTTCGGACATGAAAACGAGCAATTCTTTTTTAAACGATCACCTGGGCGTAGCTATGTGTGTAGATGGTATCAAGGTCTTGATTACATTAGTGTATCGATCTGATGGTTCCAACCCTTCGTGTAAGGTTAATAGAGCTTTGTACTCTTTGTCTGGTGCAAGCATTCCTCTCCTACGGAAATATCGTTGAAACTCGTGTCGTCAACTTCGTACATTGTTCGTACTCGTACGGATAACAAAGAGGCGAAAACGTTCGCTATTATCGAGTCATCGGGGCACAAATTCACGAGAACCGTCCTACGCACACATATCGATTCGTACTCGCGAATGCGAACGTACTCGATCTCGACCTACTTTCAAGATCGATGACGTTTATCGAGTAATCGAGTCCGATTTTGATCACCTTCGTCGATACGGCGGAGAGGTTAATTAACAATATTTTCGATCGCAACGTGATCGCCTGTAATAGCAGGGGAATTGTAAAAAGTACAGTAATTTTTCTCTAGTGTTTTTCTTTCTAATTCTCCTAATTAAATGGACAATTTGGGAAGAGGAGACACGGTTATTCGAGCCTCGTGGCTCGATTTTATAATTATCGATTGTTAACAACTATAAAAACGAGACGCAAGGCTCGAATAATCGTGTTTCCTCTTCCCGAATTGTTCATTTTTGGTGTGCAATTCGAACGCGAATTAGGCAGAAATTGCTAATACAACGAACAAAATGTTTCGTCACGATTTTTAGGTGCTATTGGCACCGTTAACAATAACAATAATATTGAAATGCGACGTAAATACGCGCCTAGATTTCAAGTAAATAAAAGTCTGTGTCTGCGTTCTTTTTTACGACGATTTTTGCAAAAAATCATGACTCGATTTTGTAATTATCGATTATCAACAACTATGAAAATGAGACGCAAGGCTCGAATAATCGCGTCTCTTCTTCCCAAATTGTTAATTTATTGTGCGCAATTCGAACGCGAATTAGGGAGAAATTGCTAATACAACGAACAAAATGTTTCGTCACGATTTTTAGGTGCTATTGGCACCGTTAACAATAGCAATAATATTGAAATGCGACGTAAATACGCGCCTTGATTTCAAGTGAATAAAAGTCTATGTCTGCGTGCGTGTGTGTTTTTTTCTTACGACGATTTTTGCGACGATATTTGCAATCATTTGGAAAGCCGAATACACAATTTCACGATATATCATAACTTTCAATCGCCCTACTCCATTTTGCGTATCGTAGCTTCTTTAAGTCGTGTCCTCGACACAAACTACGGTAAGACACGCAACCCCTGTCATTATTATTCTACTACGATACTACTACGATTCGCACGGTTACGGTATTCCGTTCTGGGCGAATATCTAGATGAATGAATCGCAATGCTCGTTATTTTACTTTATTTACCAGTTGTTACGATCGACGAACATTTTAATGGAAAATTGTTTCGCGATGATCACGATTCGACGACGAGGATCGTCGTCTCATTAATGATAATTCCACCGAGACGGGTGAAATATTTGATCTGAAATCTTGCGAAAATATGCGTGACTTGGACACATTAGTATAACAGAGAGAGAGAGAGAGAGAGAGAGAGAGAGAGAGAGAGAGAATATTTATTTATAGACGTTCAACGGTATCAACGGTGAAATGAAACTCAACACGAACCGCTTCTCATCCCTATTCCATAAATATAATATATGTATATATGCGATCGAATTCGTGGAAGCTTGGGTGATTAATATGTGAACGCTTTGAAATATTCAAGAACAAAGACACGTGCTATGAATCGTAACTGTTAACGCGACGCGCGATCACACG